CTAGAGCCCAGCCAAGGCAAGCTGACTTGTACCAGGACCCCCGGAATATCCACACTATTCCAGAGCTTAAGGTCATCTGCAAACCTTAGTGATGCCATTCTTAGTTCTCTCAGCATGTCATGCACATAGCTCGCAAACAACAATGGCCCAAATCCCGGGTCCTGCTGGACGTCACTTAGGATATCTTGCCTGAGCCAAAGGCTACACCCTACCCGCACGCACTGTTCCGACGCCTCAAGGAAAGCAGACACCCATTGAAGGGCGTGACCAGAAAAAACCTTGCGATCCCAACTTTAGTGGGAGTCGAACATGAGGAACAGTGTCAAAATCTTCCGAATCGTCCACGAATAGCACGTCTAGAGAGTGGCCACTGTCAACCGTTTTCGCCAAGCTTTCTCGAGCTACAAGTAGATTAGTCTGACACGAAAATAAATAATAAATAAATGGTATATTCTCTGTAAAACGAGACACACCTTGCGGAATCCATGTTGCGCAACACTGCGGAGGTAGCATCCATTCAGGTGGCTATCCACTGAATCCCTTATCAGCTTTTCAAACAAGTTGCCTACTACGCTTGTCAAACTGACGGGCAGGTAATTCTCCAGCATGGCGCTGTCACCGCCCGTTAAAATCAGACAGATGATTGTCGCCTTCCCCTGCATAGGTGAGATGTAGCTTCCAAGCGATATTGAAAACCCGCATGTGAGGGACTACTCAGCGCAGTGGACGAGTTAGACAACCGATATTGCTGAACTAAATCAGGACAGGAAACTTTAGAGAGATTAATGTCTTGCAGTAGCTTGGAGACCTGAGTCTCCATTACGGTAAACGCAGCTAAACAAGAACGCTTTTGAGAACGTGAAACCAATTCAATCTGTGGTAAATAGGTCTCCCGAGCAAAGTCCCCAGTATACTGATCACGAAGTATACAAGTCTTGTCATAGTCAGTTTGCGCACGGCTCCCGTCTGCACGCAATAACGCTGGCATAGGCAGGTTTGCTGCACTTCGTCTTTTAAGGTAAGCAAAGTCTTCTCTGGATTAGCTGTTGCCGAATCCGCTAAACCCTGCTCTCAATAAAGAAGGACAGCCCCGAGATGTTGCTTGCAGTTAGTGCTAATATCGATAACTGCCATAGGTCCTAGTTGATGGGGCTGCTTTGTTGGTTCGCCAGCATCTAGACCGTTTCTTAAGTAGGTGCTGGCATGATGTCTTTATCCAAGGAGGCTGTGCACTTCACCCTCTTTTCATCATGAGTCGAATATCGGGAATTGAAACCTCCTAAAGAGGTGCCCTTAATTTTTCATAGGCTTACTGGACAGAGTCGGGTTTTGAGATATCACAGGTCAGTACTGAAACGTTAGCTTGCATTGAACTAAAGTCCGTCTTCCAAATATTCGAGTTAATTCAACAGCGGGCTGTTGGTGCCTTGCAAGATCATGCCGAAAGGATATATGTGCGAGCTAAATAAATAAATAAATTACTTGTTGTGTCGATGGAGACGCGCCTAGATAGGTGTGAACAGGTCAAAGGTAAAACTAAATGTCGGGTAAGGTATAAACGATGGCGCAGCTTCGTCATGAACCTTGGAGCTGTGCGTTCGTGGATGTATGTGAGATTGCAGCTGTCTCTCTCTTATACGAGTTTGGCTACGTGCCACTACCATTCCGTTTGCTCGCGTGTGTAGTGTGAGAAGGGTTGAGTGCCTTCCGTGGTGGTAGTGTGGTTGGTTGTGTTATCCTGGGGCCGTGACTTTAGGCAGACGTGAGTCACCTCCGCCTTTTCCCTTTGCCCTTAAACAGACATAGGTGGCTGTCTATAAAGAGCATACTGGCCAGGCGAAAACCCACCGCGTCCTGGAACACTGTTGCTAAACGTTTGCGGGAACGACGTAGATCCAAACCAATCAGCCGGTACCCAAGAAAGTCATATTTTCGTTGTCGATTGAGCGGCCTGCGATCGTTGAGCAGCCATGAGCGAGTGCTTGGAGGCCCGGACGGGCGGGAGCATAGGTTAGCTAGTTATGGATTAATTCAGGTATGCTGTGGTAATCAGGTGTTTTGACGGCTTTATTTGCGGGCAGGTTATGACTGATTCAGTCCTCCGGATAAGGGCATCCAGATCCAATTGGTCAGTGTTAGTACGCCAGGGAGGTGGTGTGTTTGTGGTCTTAAATGATCCATTTTGTCTTTGGGGGTTTAGTCGTTTGCAGACCCAGAGGCCAAGTTGGATACTTGGTAAGTTGCTGTTGATATCTTTAGACAGCAGGGAAGAAAAGAGAAAAGAAAAGGACAGCAGCAGAGACAACCAAGGGCACTTGTGGCATCAGGTGGTGTGAGTGTAACAGTCATACATGTCACGACATGGTGAAGATGATGCATGATCCCTGGACGCCAGAGGTGCACCGTGTGAAATGTCAGACAATATGTCGAGAGAATAAGCGAAACATAGATATAATGTAGATGCGATGTGGTGGTCCAAGTGCCTAGTGGGAAGTCGACGGACTGGTATAAGGGCACGGGGAAGTCCGAAGAAACAAGTCTGCACCGCATATTCCTAACGACGAGTTGCAAGAAAGATCGGCTCAACAGACTACCGAGAAGTTGAAATCCCCTCGAACTAAATAATTATTCGCGGTCTGGTTGTGAATAAAGGCAAGCACTTACTTGGAAGAACGTCCGGGACTCCTGTATATCACTACAACTGTTAACTAGGCAGTGGAAGTGAGTATAACAGCCAATAGGGCTTCAACAGTCTGATACGACTACTGGAATGTGCAGGTTCTCAACCCATATAATTTAAAATTCACATACCGTACAACATCTCCGCCATGGCGACCAACGGAGCCAGCAGTTCGAAACAGCGCGTAGCCAGGTAAACATACCTCACCCTCCGTGGTATCCGGAGACAATCCCGTTTCAGGTAAGGCAAGTATGTCAGGACGAGATTTGCCTACACTTGGACCCAACTCGTGCACCTTGTTAGATAGGCTACGCACGTCGCTAAGCACCACCTCAAGGAATGCGGCATGACCATCCCTGGGTCGTGCACTATCAGGAAGGGTGCAGATATGGCGCAAAATAAGTTCCGGCTGACTGCATGAAAACCCACCAGAAGGGGCCTTGCACAACAGCCGCACGTCTAGTTATGAGGTCTTCCATAGCCTTCTTCAAATGCAACCTATCTGCCAGTAGAAGGTTCGGCTGAACGCTGGCACAACATCCCTTAATGTTAAATGCAAAACGCCGTAAGCATTTAAGTTCCTTCGCCGTAAAAAGCACCACTGGAAGTAGTCGGGGTCGTGGATTTGGCGTACGGTAGAGACCTTCACCAGTCTGGTGAGCTTTCTGCCAATGACCAAAGGAAGCCAGGCGAAAGCAGCTTGGTGACACAGTCTGAGCTACTTACTGTCATCCAATTTGCTTTCCCTTGGGAGAGCACCCTCAGATTCAGTAACTTTACGGAAAACAACGCTATGATGCTTGCACGAGTTACCCCGGAGAGGAGCGTTTACCCCGCGTGACTTGGATTCGAAACTAATAGCAGATCTTTTCACCACTGGCGATGGGACTGTCCCTGTCTCCGCAAACGACGTCGAAGCAATGGTAGCGTAAGCTTTACGCTACATTGCCGGCGTCTTAGTAGTTACTTGATCTTCAAGCTCCTTCGAACGTATAAGGACAGGTCCAGTACCCTTATTCTTTTGGCTCACAAGAGCAGAAGCCGTGGAATTTTTGTTGCATTAAGCGGTTACCAACACCGTCAGATCGGGCTGGGTTGGTGGCAGTCTAGACGGTCAGCGTCTCCAGAATGTTCTAGTGTGCACAACCGTCAGATTACCTTACGACTGCCGAAGATGGTATCTTTCTCGATGCGGTAGCAACTAATTCTCTGGGTGTAGCAGATGGCTTCTGGTATGTCTTGCGGTTGACTGGCTCATGAGGAATGCTACCTGGAATGTCCGCTAGGAGATGCGACTTCTTGACCTAGTGACAGCCCCCAGCAGATGGCTCGTCAGCCATGTTGCCGTCTATTGCAGTGTCCTGAGATGCCATATCCATAGATTTTAAAAACAAATTAATTTTCGCATTGCTCGAGGTAATAGTGGCGAGCTTGCTTATCGCTTCTCAACACCTGACAACCTTGAAGCCAGCGCTGAATTTTTAGCTATTTGATAGACTGGCACATCGAGCTCTGGTCGGAGAATTCAGCGCAGCTTAAAAGGAAGTGAACACTGCATGATAGCATTTTGTGCTGGTTTGCTTTTTGGCCTGTACAGTATTCGTGATAACAGCGGCAGCAGACGTCACACTGCAGAGATGTTACCAGATATGTTACTGGCTCTGACGATTTATACTGTGCGCCAACAGCACTATATACATCAAAGTAAGTGTTACGTCACAAATGCAGCTCGTGCTTCCGTTTATCGTCTTACCATGGCAAAACGCGAAATGTTGCACCGAGAAATACCCGCGTATATTTCCGACAACCGTGCAGGCCGACATCCGAGCGAAAAATGCATAAGGACACTGGCGGCAAAGGAAGCAAACCCACTTGTGGCCATGCTTGAATAAATTGCCGATATCTATAATTAATATAAATATGATACGAGGTATCTGCAGTGCGATATGCAAATGTAAGCATAACAACAATACGCATAGTTTGCAATGGTCACAAAACTATACCCGCATAGCACAAAAAATGTCCAAGTAAAAGCAATCTAAATAAAAAGCCATGCTAAATGCATGAAGTATAATAAACCGAGTTAAAGCAGTGTGCTAATATGAGGCCCGATGCTTAGCGTGCGCACTGTGTTTAAACGAGTGAAACAAAGGCTTCATCAGTGCATCAGCCAATGGGAAACGCGGCACCCCAATAAAGCCTGCGGTTTGCGGAATTAGTGCCCAGTATAAATATATTTTTGTGATGGCCGCTACCACGCGAGTTTCCGCGTTATTGTTTCCAACGTTTTGTATCTGTTTTCACGGTAATGGCCTAAAAAATGACAAGCAGGTGTGTTTTTCGTGTTGGATTATGATAGGTACATTTTTATGTATGTCAATTTTTTAGAGAAAATTTATATTTGTCCTTTGTTTGCCTGCTGGATCATATTTTTGTTCTGGTTGTAGGACGATTTTCCCAACTATCAGTATGTTACCAAAAAGGGCGTAATTATTTCCTCTCTAATTACTGGATTTTTCTAGTTTGCTTCTCTAACTTCGTCTGCCTGACGTGTTGGTCACCTCAATAACTTTTGCTTGCACATTGGCGCACACGTTTTATTTATCTAGAGTAATTTGTTTCGGATTATTGGAAATTTTTCTCCTTCTGAGGTTGTTTTTCACTAAGATGAGGATCAGCACAGTTTGAGTGGCCGATTGAAATATGATGGAATGACATTTGGTGTGCCCGATTGGCTGCATTGTATGTAGCTGACAATTCAATCGATGCACACTTCGATCGCATATCGGCCACTCCAAAACTGTTTCCAGCCTCGCCGTAAAATCTTCCATATGTGCATAATCATAAACGTAGTTTGCGGTCAGCGGAACTCGATTCCTAAAGCGTCGCGACGCAATATTGAGTACATCGGGCCACATGCTTCCATTGTATGCATTCCAAGCTTTTTAAATGAACGATATTTGACTGAAATGTGTTTTGTTGAGACGGCCAGTTACAAAATTCGGTCAAACCGCGGCAGCCTGTCGGTCGCTCACACTGACTAGATACTAGATCTTCTTGAAAAGAAATGACCAGTTGAATTAAAAATGATGGTATTAAATGCCTGCGATCGCATTTCGAACCTCAGTCTTCGTTGGATCCTCTAAACCGCGGATATCCACAATTTCGACCTGCGCGTTTACAGTACAACTGGCCCGCGACCTCATCATTATATGATAACTTCAAGCTTGGACATTTTTCGTACTTTGTGTACTTTGTGCTATTAAACTTTCGTTCGCCTAAATATGGTCCGGCATATATATACACCTCACAAAATTGTTTGAGAAAAGAAATTCTCGCTTCCCTGGTTGGGGTCCGAAAGTCAATGAACATGTTTGGCTGGATACACTTGCTGATATGGCCACGAGCCGACCTCAGTTACGTTCGTGCTGTGAGTTTATTTGTCCCACCTCATACTTTTTAATCTCCCTTTCCAATCACGATCTCATTATTTAGCATATTCGAATTTTGCATAACAATTTTGCTGCATAGTAGCCGGCCAGTAGCTTACCGGAACGATGCCCAACCGTTACAGGTACCTAAGCTGGCTTTCACCTGTTGCATTTTCTCCTTTTTTCTATATATTGCGGCACAGTATCTGTGTTTCTCACCCGTAACTAACGTGTATAATGATCATGATGACCTCACAAAATGTGTCCCTCCGTGCAAAAGTTTGGAGATCCCTGCTCTAAACTAACCGTCCATGACTCATCTTGCATCACCTGAGTAGGAAGAGGTCCGGATACAGCGGCCAGCTGACCCAATCTTATAAGTGATCCGCCCAACGAACCATACAGCGCGTCTATTGTGAATCATGGCATCCGCACTGTCTGTAACACTGACGCCTGGTATTCTGAGACCAATGTCACAGATCAGCTGAAAAAGTTGGAGATAATTGCCTACTGCTCCCGCCTCCATCTCTTGAGCGCGTCTAGTTCACTAGGCTTCCTTATGAGCGCGCAGAACGCCTATCGGCCGGTGGCCGAGTGGTCTGCACATTTGCTTTGCAACCATAGGGTCACCGGTTCGAATCCGCGTAGGGGTGGGCGTCCTCGCGGTATACTCAGCCCGCGCGCGACTGGTGGTGGTCGCGCGGCAGCGAAGCGCCGTTCTGGCGTACAGCTGACACATTATTATTATTATATTTAGTTCGCGCCTAACGATCCGTCTGGTCACGTTGTGCTCAGAGTTTTCTTCTGTATTCTAACGGGTTCACCGACATCTCGGATATACCGTGACTGATGCGGTGACGACTGATAGTGCCACAAGCAGATTCTCATGCGTGTCATGCACGGCCGTCGAGATTCTATTCCACTAAAGCTCAGTGACATTAGGACAAGACAGCTAAAGTTCCGTACGCAGTGCTACTTAATAGGCTTGGCTGACTGAGAGCTAAGACAAATTCCCAGTTGCCAATTGGGTGAGACGCCCGGTGCGCCTGCCGGTAAATTTATGGAAAAACGACAGCATGCCAAGGTATGATCAATGTCGACACAAGTACTCCAGAATGAGCGGCAATCCAGTATAGAATCACGCCACCTGTAACTTATGGCAACTTGATCTACTTGGGTCCATCGCTGGTCAGCTACGAGAAGACGCCAAGTGACACTTCGGCGCCCACTATGTTTAAAAGCGGTGCTACTGCGAAAACGCTGGTGCCCCTCGCATAGTTGAAACACGCTCATCGTTGTCAGTGCGTTCGGAGTTAAGCCATTAATCACCACCTAGCTGAGCATCCGAAGAGCTCAGACGCCCTGCTGTGTTCATATCTCCCGTAAGTACTGTGATATTTGAACTAGTAGCACTGCGTAGTAGCGCGTTCAGTTCGTGATAGAATGTGTCCTTGAAAGCATCAGAACTACAATCGGTTATGGCATAAGCGGAAACCATAAACAAACGGCGATTTGTATTACTTCGTGAAACAACCTTAGTTGATGTCGTCAAACGGGCTGCACACGAACGGCTGCTCACGGGAATCCAATCAACCAACGAAGACAGCCTTGGGACTGAGAGCGATGCCAACACTAGCTTGATCAGTGAGTGCTGCATCAGCGTCTCCGGGTGCGTGCAACCAATATCGAGAGGACAAGCCGGACGAAGGTAATTCAACAACCTCATTAGGGTCAATGGTCCTATTTACGGATGCGCAACACACGTCAATACGCAATATGTCCAAGATGCGTGTGAGTGCAGCTTGTTGACCTATTTGTCTTAGAGTGCGAGCGTTGAACGCTGCTAGGGGAACAGGACAGCGTGGCTTTATAAGAGACTGTAGCCGATATGTGTCCGGTGGGTGTTGTGAGAAGATGGCTGCAGATTTTCTATTCCTGGGACACTTCGGTTGCTGTCACTAAAGCAAGGAATTATGGAAGGTAGGTTAGTGATTGGGGTAGGGAGGTGAGTATGAGTGACAGGTGGAAAAGAGGGCAGCGAAGCGCCAGCAGTAGCATGTGTTCGCTTATCCGTCCTGATGTATGCAGCAGATGAGGCGAGCGTTGACGATCTGCGTGACGGCCGATGCACGATTTAGTTAGAGTTTGGGGAAATTGTCATTGTTGTATGTAGGCTGAGATACTGTTAGGGCGCCCAGACCTATACAAGAGGACAAATAAGATCCTCAACCAAAGCCTTTGGCTCAAAAGCCTGTTTGCAAGGTGACGGGGTGGCAGTGACTTAGTTTTACAGAACTTGATGCCCCCTTTTCAAACCCGTAACCTAGAGGGGCAGGAGACTTAGCTCGCCTGATTAACCTTGTAGGAGTAGCTTTTAAGGGGCCCGGAGGCACTACGCAGTAAAGCTAAAGGGTCAAGGAAGTACGCAAGCAGTCGCACTACCTTATGGTCCTTTTTCTTCGCGACGGAGACAGTGAGATATCAGCTAGTTAGTGAAAGGTTGGGTGTATAACGCTGCAGTAAGGCCCATGTTGCTGTATGGAGCAGGGACCTACCCAGTTCGCAGCGAAGACATTAAACGGTTGGCCGTGTTTGACCGCCGGCGCTTGCGAAGTACTGCTCACGTTCGGTGGGAACACCGGGTGATCAATGCTGAGGTCCGTCAGTTAATTTTGTGCAAAACGCCATATGGTGCCTCTTCGGAGTGTTTGGTAGATCTTACTCGCTTGTATTGGCCAGTTTGCCTCCTTCGCATGCCCGTTGATCGGCTGCCTTCATGTGCCGTGGCCACACCAAGTTGGGCGAAACCACGAGGTGGTCAATCAATGACATAGCATAGAAGCTTGAAGAAATTGGCCGAGAGACTTGGTCCGGCTGGTGCGTGTCGTCTTTCTGAATGGGGGCATCGGGACGGCTCACACAAATGGTTGGGGCAGTGTCAGACATGAAATAGTCACGAAGTAAGCTGCGTTTCTGCATTCGGCTGCTTTCATCTGGTTGTTAACTTTCGTCCCATTCTGAATAGTCTAACGCATTTCGTTCTTGCTTCCATTTACTCCAAATACTATTTGCATCCAATACCACCACCCAACCGGTGTTATTTGTTGTTATTTTTACAATGAGTCTTGGTAACTGGATCCGCCGCACTTCGGTGCTCGGATTATCATTGATCAACCGAACTGAACTGAAGCTTAGCGATGATCAGGCAAAAGTCATCCAGAAATTTAAGTACCTGGGTAGCTATATTACCGTTCGCGGGATTGAAGATCGGTCACACACCACATAGCAAAAGCTAGACGTGCTTTTCCAATCCTCGCCACTTGTGGCGCCGGCGAGACATCACTCTTGCCCTGAAGAGCAGAGTTTACAATGCCATCGTCCGTTCAACCTTTCTGTATGGTTGCGAAATCTGGTCCATCAAGTCGACAGACATAAAGAGCTTTGTTACATTTGACCATCACTGCCTTCGCAGCATAGCTCCTGTCACATGTGAACACCGCGTGAGCAATGAGCGCGTTCGGCATCGTGTATTTGGTGAGGGAAGAGCGAGTGAACCTCTCAGCACCGTTATGTCACGCACCAGACTCCGATGACTGGGCCACATGTTGCGCATGCCAGCACAGATACATGCACCGTGCGTTGTTTGCGCTCCCGGGGTCTGGATGGAAGAAGTGGAGACCAAGCGATGAACTATGAACACTAGCTGGCACGGCGAGGATCCGGCCTCAATGGCGTTCGTGTTGTGAGTCTCCGTAGGCGATGACAGGGCAAATGCAACGCGTGCAAATAGACTTAATCGCACCTGAACAACTAACAGGGTAATGCGGTTGCCAGCTAGTTATCGTTTACGCGTCCTCTGAATTTGAACACATTAGTACCGACAAGTGCAATGGACCTGAA